GTGTGGCTTGGTGGGCATGGCAAGGGAAGGATACTGTAAAATCTCCATTCCCTCCCCAATCCAGGGGAAGGATAGTATAAAATCTCCATTCCCACCCCACTCCTGGGGGAAGGATATCGCAAAATCCCCATTTCCTCCCGATCAGCTGGGACTCAGGAGGCAGAGAATAGATGGGGGCGGGGCCAGTCAGAATTTATACTACCGTTTCTCCGAACTACTCAAAATTTCCACTACCGGTTCTCCAGATTCACTTAATAACTATGGCAAGAAAGTAAAACTGGGCAAAACTCACTTAACAAGTGTCTCACTTTAACAACAGACATTTTGGGCTCAATTGTGGTCATAAATCGAGGATTACCTGCATGATCTATTTGTCTGGATGCACACAGACACACCGGAATGCCCCATCCCAGTTAAGTGTTTGATTCCCCAAGAGAAGGCAGGCTTGTTGTAGGAGGAAGTGGAAATCTTCAGGAAGAGTAAGAGTTGTAGCCCTAGATCAGGGGTGTCGAACTCAAGGCCTGCGGAGTACTTAGATCTGGCCCATAGGGCCACCCTGGAAACAGCGAAGGACCACCCCGCAGTGCTTCTGCCAGCAAAAATGGGGTCTCAAGCTCCGTTTTTGGCTGCCACGGCCTCCTGCAACCCTCTGCCAGCGAAAACGGAGCTCGGGAGCCCATTTTGGCTAGCAGAAGCACGTGGCCCTCCCGAGCTCCGTTTTCACTGGCAGAGGGTTGCAGGAGACTGTGGCAGCCGAAAACGGAGTTCGAGACCCCGTTTTCGCTGGCAGAACGCTCGGGCCGCCACAGGTGTCCCCGACAGGAGTGACATTGAGCTGAGCACGCCCACCCTGGCCCCTCCACCCAGGTTCCCCCGGGGTCAAACACAACCCTGATGCGGCCCTCAATGAAATCGAGTTTGACACCCTTGCCCTGGATCGTATACGGGGCTGGCTCCAAAGGGATCGCCTCTAAATCTTCACTGAATAAACCATAGTTAGTTGTGAGCAAACCTTCAGGGACACCCCACATTTTTCTAGCTATGGGGGGAAGGGAAGGAGAGCGCTCACCAGAGACCTGTGCTCCTGCAGAAGGGCTCTGAAAACAGTCTGAAGGCTAAGAAAATAGACCACTGATTGTAGGAAGTCTTAGGGCCACAGGTAACCCACCCTTGCATCAATCAGGTAGGGATAGTATAATCTATGGCACCCAGCTCTTTCTCACGTTTGAGCATTCAACACTGAGTAGCAATCACCTCTCGAAGAGGAAACTTACTCGATCTTCAGTTGGTGAAGGGTCATCCCTTAAGCTGTTCTGATCTTTCTACTTACTGATCTCAGAATTGTTTGCTGGTTCTAGAAGCCCCATTGTCTCTCTTAAAGGGCCGTTGCTGCATTCTCACAAAACTTCTCAACTTAGTTCAATTTAGCCATACTTGTAGATTAGGGGGTGTCCAACCTTGGCAACTTTTAAGACTTTTGGACCTCAACTCCCAGAATTCTCCAGCCAGCCACGGTTGAAGACCCCTGCTGTAGATTATTCTGTCCAGTTTTCTGAATTAGGTACTAGCTGCACATTATTATAAGAAAGAAATGTGCTTGTTTAGAGATTACACTAAGTCAGCTAAATTCCATTCTTGGTAATATATATCTTCTGAGGGGCCTAGCTGTCAAGGATGCAAAGACATCCATCTGAAACAAAAAGTTACTTATTATCCAAAGCAGCCATGAATCTACGCATCAGCAATCACAGAACTGAGGAAGGTTGTTTAGCTAAGATAATCTTATGAACTAGAAAATAATGAAGGAATTTAGTAATTAGAAAGTGTCAATTATAATGTAACAAATGTATGTTAACCATATGTGGAAAACTGCTGTGCTCACAAAATCCTTTGTCTTGGAGATGTATAAAAGCAGTTGTATCAGAGCTCTTCTGGGTTCAGAATTGCAGGTACAAATCTGATTTTGAAACTGCGCAATAAACTGTCTCTGGCTGACACAGGAATGTTGTTTGGTCCCATCATTCCATAACATATATATTGAGCCCTGAAGCACCTGTGGAAAAATCAGGACCTAAATATAACTGGTCTATTGGAAGAAATATCCTTCTGGGTTCAGTTCCAAGTGGGGAGAAAGACACTGGACACATGGTGGCTGATTGGAAAGATGGTTTTTAATGGTGGACAGGACCACATGGGTTTTAGGTCCTGGGCAAAAAAGGCAGATGGAGTGGAGAGAGAGAAAAATTTATACCGTCTGTTCGGCTTTGAATTTGAGCTTGTATTCTGATTGGTTGTCAGACTCCCATGGGGCCATGCAAGGGCAACTTTTTAGGTTGTGTGTGTCCCAGGCTTGGTTGAGCCTTGCTGGGTGATAATGTAATGAAAGGGCGTTGGGCAATTCATACTATAGGCTGGCCCAGGCCTTAATGGCCCATTGGGGGGGGGGGCGGCTGAGTTTCTGCCTCCCTTTTAGAGAAAATATTGTGCCCTTTTAATATTT